TGTGAATGTGTGGGACGACGTTTGCAAAGGATCCAAAGAGGTGTTAATATTTGTCTTGGGGCAGAGTTTTTTTGTAGCTGGTTTTTTTCCCATTAATTTGACTAGAAAGACGCTTAAGTAAATTGCGACCAGGGAGGGCAATACTGACGCACTTGAAATTGGAGTTAAGGGCTGAAATGAAGTGGCATTCACTTTAAGGCTATAGTAAAGTACTAAGGAAAAATAGTTTTATGGCATTTGGATTAATGGTGGTGTTTGGTCAATTTAAACCTTCATTTTCGTCAAGTCATTCATTTTTATTGTTTGTATCCATTAGATAAGAAATCTTGCTTTTCTGCTTTTTCTAGGAGATATTAAAAACACTATACGATATAAGTCTACGTTTTGAAAAAAAAAACTCGACACGATATACCGCCTAAGTGTCTGTAATTTAAGATTTTAAGGTTTCAATTGGTAATGTACCCTGTATCAAAAACTCTTCAAAATGGAACCATTTTGATAAGAGAACCTGAAAATTCTGGTTAGATATTGAAAATTCTCTTATTTCACATTTTATAAAAAATATAATTTTTCAAAATTTTGAGCTTTTGTGGGGGAGTTACTTGATGAAGTGGGCCAATATTGCCCATTTTCGCACCTGAACTAGCACTAAAAAATATATCATTTTATACGTCATCGAAATAACGGTTTTAGACCCTAGGTCTTTTTGGACCAAATTCGTTTCAGGACATTTGGAGTCGATTTGGCGATGTTCGTCCGTCGTCTGTTAGTCTGTCTGCCTAGCTGGTGCGCACGATAACTCTCGAAGGGAGTATCCGATTAAGTCCAAACGTGTTCGGAGATGCACAATATCGGTCAATTTCTTCTGGTATTTCCAACATAAAAGGTCGAAATTAAAAAAAAAAAATCTGCACAGAAAGAGAAAGGATAATCCGATTTTGCTCCAACTTTGCAAATCCTAATATTTGCATCAGTGATAGGCCAAGCGCGAAAATGGACAATATCGGTACACTCCATCAATTACCTCCCCACAAAACGTCAAAATTTTGAATAATTATAACTCTTATAAAATGTGATGTAAGAGTCCGATTGCCATCAAATTACACACATCACAATAATTTTCAATAATTACAACTCTCCGATTTTTTTCAAATTAAACACATCCCAATATTTTATTACCCAAGGTCTGATCAGTGTTGCCGTTTTGGGCATTTCCGTCCAAATTTGGGCGGAAAAAAGATAAATTTTGTGGTTTGGGCGGATTTTTTCCATATTGGGTACAAATTTATTTTTCATTGTTTATTTTTACGTAATTTATTTTTTTTTATTACTAACTGAATTTTATATTTTTTATTGAGATGAATCATTATTTATTTTATAGATTTTTGTTAAGTTTTCTAATAATATATATATAATACATTAGGCTATAGTCGTGCGGGGCCGACCATGTGATACCCTACAACACTACAATATGTTAGAAGCCCCCTCATGTCCAAATCCATTTTGGAAGATTTCGCTTTTGAAATTATGTCACGGAGCACTGCCCAGATATTACCCTTAGCATTTTGACCAGGGACATTTTGCTGTTAGTATTTGTGGTTCATTTTACGGCTAAATATATTCCAATTGTCATCCAAAATGCCAGAATTCTTTGAAAACAATAGGCTAAGCCCTTCTGAGTCTAACCCTACCTTTTTGTGAGGATCGAACGATAATTACAATCTGTATATAAATAATAACCCTAACCTGTGTTGTAAAGTGAAAAAATATTATAAAACAAATACTTCAATATCAAAAAATAAAAAAATGTCACAAAATACTACAAAATCTATATGAACATCATTATTGGTATCTTTTTATGGGATTTTTTAGTATTTATACTTTAATGCCACAAGGGCATTCTAAATTGACAAAATTTGTCAAAATCGCTCCAGCCATTCTGAAGATATAAGCATTCTAGCTGACATCCCCTTCCTTTGTCTATATATATTGTATATATATTTCTCTATATATATCCGATATTTTTACTATCGGCATCTATGTAACGGTCAGAATTGACCTGTTCGTCTATTTGAGATTTCGCCGGCAGTAAAAATATTCGCGGAATAATGGAAAATTTGACTTTTATTTATCGCAAATGCTATGGTCTACTAAACCACTAAATATTACCCGATGACCATCGAAATCTAGCCCCATGCTAAATTTCGCTTCGATTGGTCTATAATTGTGACCTGTAGAGCAACTGCAAAATCAGGAAATTTTTCAGTTTTTGGTCCATTTCAACCCCTAAATATTATGCGATAATCTCCAAAAGAAATAGGGTTCTATTCTGACCTTAACCCCAGCTACATTCTAAATTTCGTGAAGCTCGGGCCATAATTGCGATCTATAGAGTGATTACGAATTAACATGAACAGACGGACGGACGGAAATACATAGCTAGATCGACTCAGCTCGGCGAGATAGGAAGATCAATATATGCTTTCCTATGTGGGAAACCAATATTTCGTGATGTTACATAATTTTTGGCCCAATCAAAGTTATAATACCCCCAACACATAGTGTTGTAGGGTATAAAAACCTGGTTAATAATAATTACTTTAATGTATTTAATACATTGAATTCTTGTATTATGTTACTTTTTCAAATATTATATATAATATATATATATAAAAAAACTTGAAGAAAAATGACATAAAATTTTTATTTTCTCTAATGTATTTAATACATTGAATGTAATAAAACTTGAGTACCTTTTTTATGTATAGTGTAAAATTTTCAATAAAATTTACTTGAATACAAACTACATATAAATTATTCAACTTTTAACAGTTTGGGCGGATATGGTCGATTTTGGGCGGTTTTTAGAAAAAATTTGGGCTGAAATAAAAATTTCAAACGGCAACACTGGTTAAGATGGAATATATCTGTCCACTCCTTCTGATAAAAACGTCGAAATTTTCAAAAAAAAAAAAAAAAAAAAAAAAAACAAAAAGAGTATGGATAATCCGATTTTGCTCCAACTTTGCTCCAAATCCTAATATTTGCATCATTGATAGGCCAAACGCGAAAATGGACAATGTCGCTACACTCCATCAATTACCTCCCCCACAAAGCGTCAAAATTTTGAATAATTATAACTCTTATAAAATGTGTTGCAAGAGTCCGATTGTCTTCAAATTACTCACATAACAATATTTATATTAGCTCAAGGTCTGTTGTGAAGATGGAATAAATCAGTCCAATCCTTCTGGTAGCTCCCCCACAAAGGGTCAAAAGTTCAGAATATCCATGAACCTAATATAACGCGAAATTAACATCCGATTCCATTCAGATTTGGCACATCTCAATATTTCTGTCAACAAAAGATCTGTTATAACGTCAGTAGAGATCGGACCATTTCCTGTGGTACCTCCCCCACAAAGGGTCAAAGTTTAGAATTGCCAAAACGATTACAGGGTGAGATAAAAAACTACAACAATGTTTAAAGCCATAATTTCAACATTTTTTTAATTTTATTAAATGATAGCAAAAAATGTCGGAAATAGCATCAAATTTTAGAATAAGTTTTGAATAAGATTTGTTCGAATTGGTCACCTTTGGCACGAATTTGGCATTCAAAGGCCAATGAAACCGCCACACGCTGCCCAAATGATACTCTGCGGTATTTTGGCCCATTCCCGCTTGCTTGATCGGGATCGACACTTAGGTCTTTTTTAGTGTCTACCATGCTTTCTAAAATACTCCTGACACAATAGTCCAACGGATTTGTATCCGGAGATTTTGGTGGCCATTGTGTGCTGGAAATGATGCGAGGAACCTCATTTTGTAACTTGGGTGCTGAGTGCAATGGTGCTGACTCCTATTGGAATGTCCAAGGTCTGCGGCCAAAATGTTTGCATGTCCAAGGCTTTAATACACCCTCCAGAATATTTTCGCGATAATACTCGGCATTTATTCTGATGCCACGGTCGATTAATACGAGCGGAGAGCGACCTTCGGCTGTTATGGTGGCTCACACCATCACCATGCCCAGCGCTTGAGTTCTGGTGCCCAACCGAAGGTACACATTTTCAGCTGACCTCTTTTTCAAGTAAACATGATCATTTTGTTTGTTTACCAACTGCTGGACAACAAATGTTTTCTCATCGGAGAAAACCAAATTCGGCAGTTCACCATTTTTGGCCAAGCGAAGCAACTCTTTAGCTATTTTATGTCTATTATTTTTCTGTTGCGGTGTAAGTTCTTGGACTTTTTGGAATTGTAATGACTCGGGGAAGGAGCTCATTTTTCAATATTTGCCGAATGGAATATTGCGATATGTTCACCTCACAAGCCATTTTTCGGCCACTGCGACGCGGGTTTCGATCAAGTCGCTTCTTTACTTTTCGAACCATTTCTGCTGATGTTGCTGTTTTCTTCCGTCCACTTCCTTGACGTCGGGCTACGCTAGCAGTATTACAGTAATGAGCGATGGTACATGACACTAAAGATTTATTCACATTTAAATGCTGGATTGTTCTAACGATAGCCACTTGTGGTTTTCCAGCCAAATATAAAGAAATCACACTATCACGCTTGAATTCCATCAGGAATAACCTTTTTTCTGGAAAATTCTCATCAAAATGCTTTTGTACGACAATGCACCATATACACTTCATAAATCTCTTACAGTGGTTAATAATTTAAATATTTCAGGTTTGAGTAACTTCAATCTTTTCACTCATACCCCTGAAATGACATAGACAACATCTGCCGGTTCGAATTTTTTCGGTGGTAATTGGTGAGAGCAATTCTTCGTCTATATTCTTATTAGTCTATGCTATATATATATATATATATATATATATATATATATATATATATATATATATATATATATATATATATATATATATATATACCACTTACCACCGAAAAAATATATATACATATAAATTTCACCACTTACCACCGAAAAAATATATATACATATAAATTAAAATTTATCAAACACTTACCTCTCTGAGATCACTGTTTTCCGTTAGTAAATCTATTTTATTACCCACAACCACAATTGGGACAGCTGAGGTGCCCTTAGTCTCATGAATTTGATCACGGATCATGCGTACTTCTTCGAACGTTGTTGCATCTGTAACATCATAGACCAGAATGAAAGCATCTGCCGAGGATATGGAGAGGGCTCTCATGGCGGGGAACTGTAAAGAAACAAATAATCAAAGGTAAAGGATGAGTTGATATCGAATTATTCTTATGACCACACAGAGTATTAGCATTATTAAAAAGTATACGTCAGAACATTCCGTGTTATTTTCAGATACACCCAAGTATTTTTGTTGTTTAAAAAATCGGGTTATTTCTAATATTTAATTACAGTGTAACACAAAAAAACAAGTAAAAACACATTAAGTTCGGCCGGGCTGAACTTTTAATACCCTCCATCCTAGGGTAATGGAAACATTAGATATAAATTTGACCGTCAAATACCAATTTTTACACATATTCGTGGAAAACGTGGCAAAAATCATCAAAATACCGAAAATCGGGAGGTACCGCTATATAGTGCTATACAAAAACGTGGACCTTTACATACAATGTTTCACCATCCCATTATGACCAACTAATTCCTATTTTTAGACAAATCCGTGAAAAAATGCGACAAAAACCATCAAAATACCGAATATCGGGAGATACCGTTATATGGGGGCTATACCAAAGCGTGGACTTAAACATACAATGTTTCGCCACACGAACTAGGACCCATTATGACCCACAAATACCAATTCTCAGACAAATCCGTGAAAAAATGTGGCAAAAATAATGAAAATACCGAATATCGGGAGGTACCGTTATATAGGGGCTATATCAAAACGTGGACTTATACATGCAATGTTTCGCCACCGGAGCTAGAACGCATTATGACCAAAAATACCAATTTTTAGACAAATCCGCGGAAAAATGTGGCAAAATATGGGGTCTACGGCGAATATTTAGACATGTTACAATTGGAATGACAATCCAATTGATCCTTTCCAAGGTGGAGGGTATAATAATTGCAGCGGAAATTTAGCAGATTATGAAAGTAGAGATTTACATCGAATTTTTACATCGCAAAGTAACCCTAATAGTGGGAAAAAAATCCTCTTTTGACATTTTTTGAAATTTTCGAATTAAGATTCCTTGGAGATTTTAGGTACATAGAGCAGATAAAACCGAGTTTTATTTTGTTCAAAAATGTTAACCCTCAAGCCAGCCAATAAGAGACTGCTTTATTGGCCTTTTTATACCCTCCACCATAAATAGGAGGGTACATTAAGTTTTCCATTCCGTTTGTAACACCTCAAATATACATTTTAGATCTGTCTATCCATCTGTCCATTTGTGGAAATCTAGCTTTTGAACGAAATGAAGTAGGCTAATAAAATTTAGCACAAATGTATACTATGTCTGAAGGATTTTTGATATTGAAAATGGGCCATGTAGGTCCACGTCTTCGTATAGCCTCCATACAACTGTACCCCCCGATATTCGGTATTTTGATGATTTTAGCGACATTATTCACGGGAATTGCTTCAAATTTGGTAATGGATAATACAGCCTAAGACAGAAATTTGTCTGTGCACGTCCACGTTTTGGTATAGCCACGGTACTTCCCTATATTCGGATTTTTCAATCAAATTTCAACTCTATCTCTTCACCCAATATCAAATTTAGTAACATTTAGTACGCATATCCAAAACAATCAACATCTCTCCATCCTAGACACCAACAGTGATTCAAAATTGGTAGCATTTAATACGTTTCGAACAATTATGGTACTCATTTTCAAAAACCACAACCAAATACAAACCAACCTTTACACAATACCGAATGCAGTACCATTTACTACGTTTCATATATAATACCAACAAAGCTCCAATTTCAAATTTCGTGATTCCAGCTCTATACCTTCACCCAAGACCCACTTTTGTAACATTTAGTACTTTTCGTACAATTATGGTGCACATTTCCAAGACCACCTAAAAAAACTCAATTTCAGATACATAAAATTTCGGTATTCCAGATCTATCCCTTCATCCAATACCAAATTTAGTACAATTTAATACCTTTCTTAAAAATATAGGACACATCTCCAAAACTACATCTATATCTCAATTCCAGATGCCAAAAGAGACCTCAATATCTAATTTCGGGACTCCAGCTCTATTCCTTCTCCCAATACCAAATTAAGTACTATTTAGTATTTTTCGTACTATTACGCTCTACATTTCCAAAACCATCTCCATATATTAAACACAGATACCAACAGTGACATCAATATCGAATTTGAGGATTTCAGCTCTATTATTTCGCCCAATTCCAAATTGTACCAAATTTAGTATCACTTGGTATTTTTGTACACATTTCCAAAACTGACTTACATGTTAACTTTATGTGTTCACCCAAAACCAAACTGCTCCATATTTAGTACCATTTAGTACAGTTCGCACATTTCTAAAATAAGAATTTCGAAACTTTATAAAATTTTGTCCAAGTTCAATGTTCCGAGTTTATATGTTTTGGAAGCATCACTTTAATAATTGAATTGTATCTAAGTGGTCGTTGACTTTATCAGCATAATGTAGCAGACTATTACATATATATATATATCGCATACATGTAAGTTTAACTTACCAAAAGGGACCATTTCATATTTGTGAAATATGTGAGAATACTCCTGTTCAACAAGTTATGACAATTGTCTCTTGGGTTTAGTGAACAGTTTAAGAAGTTTACAAACATTTTTTGACACCATACTAAAATACATAAAAAACACAGACAGGAAAGGTCAAAAGTTGGGCGGGGCCGACCACATAATACCCTACACCACTATGCGTATCTAGTAGAGCTCCCAACTATGAACCTTATTTGAATGCGTATCATGGCTTTAGAGTAGTCACAATTTGCGAACAATATTCAACTCTGAATCTATGTTCAATAAATTTGAAGGAGGTTTTTGTTTAACTTTGCTGTATAGTGCGGCTTTGATAAGAATTATATTAAAAAATACTTATTGCAGCAATAGAGATCCCGGACCGAGTTTCATCAAATGGAAAAATTTGGTTGAATATGAAACAAGCAAAACAGCTGTAAGTTCGGCCTGGCCGAAATTTGAATACCCTCCACCATTAGAAAAGAATTTGACAATTTTCACAAAAAAAAAAAATAAAAAAAAAACAAATAAATAAATAAAAAAAAAAAATAAAAATAAATAACTAAATAAAAACGGTTGAAAAATCTATTAAAATCTTAAAAATACCGAATGTAGCCGTTATATTAGGGTCTATTCGACGACATGGACCTGCATAGGTAACTTTCCGGTAAATAATGTCTCTGAAATCATCAACATACCCAATATCGCGAAGTACCGTTATTTGGGGGCTATACGAGGACGTGGATATGCACAGACAATTTTTTGTCTTAGGCTGTATTATTTATTGCGAACTTCAAATGCCAAATTTGAAACGATTCCGGTGAATAATGTCATTATATGGAGGTTTTACGAAGACGTGGACCTGCACAGAGAATTTTCTGTCATATGCTGTAGTATCCGTTATGAACTTCAAATAACAATTTTGAAACAATTCCGGTGAATAATGTCGCTAAAATCATCAAAATACCGAATATAGGGAGGTAGAGTTATATGGAGGCTGTACGAAGACGAGAACTTTCATGGCCCATTTTCAATACCAAAAGTTCTGCAGATACAATATACATTTGAGTACAATTTTATCAACCTACTTCATTTCGTTCGGAAGATACAGTAATTTACACAGACGGATAGAAGGACATACGGATAGACGGACGGACATCGCTAAATCGACATAGAATGTTATGCTGATCAAGAATATATATACGTTGTGGGGTCTAAAATGTATATTTCGAGGTGTTACAAACGGAATGACAAACTTAATATACCCTCCATACTATGGTGGAGGGTAGAAAAATCTATCCAGTTTGGGCTGATATTACATATATGGTGGATAATATCCGACCGATCTTGACAAAATTTGAAACAGTTATTTCTGAGCTGTATCTCATATCTGGTACCAAATATTACTGTTGTGGAGTGCATATTACGCATATGAGGGACTTGAAGCCCAAAATCGGACGAAACATATATATGGGAGCTATAGCTGAAACGATTTTCACCAAATATGAAGTACTTGTTTCTATGATGAATTCAGTCGGAATTGCCAAGATTCAGTTTATTTGGTCTGATATTAGCCATTTGGTGTACAATAAACCTGAAATCGGGTAAAAGGTATACATGGGAGCTACATTCAAATCTGAACAATCTCGGTGAAGATTGGCAAAGGTATTTCTAGACTGTATCTGATATCTGGTACCAAACATCGTTCTTGTGGAGTGCATATTACGCATGTGAGGGACTTAAAACCCCAAATCGGATGAAATATATATATGGAACCTATAGCTATATCTGAACTGATTTTCACCAAATTTGATGTACTTGCTTCTACACTGAATTCGGTCGGATATGCCAAAATTCAGAAAATTTGGAGTCGATCTAGCGATGTCCGTCCGTCTGGCTGGTGCGCACGATAACTCTCGAAGGTAGTATCTGATTTGGTCCAAACTTGGTACATCGTAATATTTTTGTTAATCTTAGATCGAGTTCGGAGATGGGCAATATCGGTCCACTCCTTCTGGTACATTCACCACAAAAGGTCGAATTTTTCAAAAAATAAATTTTTTACACATAAAGAGAAACGATAATTCGATTTTGCTCCAACTCTGCAAATCTTAATATTTTCGTTAGTGCTAGGTCAGGTGTGAAAATGGACAATATCGGTCCACTCCATCAAGTACATCCCCCACAAAGGGTGAATAATTTTACAACTCTTATAAAATGTGATGCAAGGGTCCGATTGTCTTCAAATTTCTCACATCACAATATTTATATTAACCCAAGGTCTGGTGGTATGACGGAATATATAGGTTCACTCCTTCTGGTACCTATATTTTCTGCACAGAAAGGGAAGCAATAATCTAATTTTGCTCTAACTTTTCAAATCGTAATATTTACATTATCGGTCCATGCCATCAAGTACCTCCCCCGCAAAGGGTCAAAATTTTGAATAATTACAACTCTTATAAAATGTGATGCAAAGGTCCGACTGTCTTCAAATTTCACACATCCCAATATTTTTATAAACCCAAGATCTAGTGGTAACACGGAATATATCGATCCACTCCTTCTGGTACCTCCCCCACAAAAGGTCAACATTTTGAATATCCATTAGGCTCATAAAACACGAAATTAACATCCGATTCCATTTAGACATGGTACATCTGAATATTTCTATCAACACAGGATCTGTTGTAAAGATGGTAGAGATCGGATCATGCCTACCCCACATAGGGTTAAAGATTTTAAAAAACCAAACGCACAATTTTCAATACTTGTATCTATCATAACTTGCGAAACAAGTTAGCGATTTTTTACAACTATATCTTAATATTTTTCTCAACCAGAAACCTGCGAAGAATATAGAATTTATGATTTCTTTTAACATTTTTTAAAAATTAGCAAATACCTCATTTAAAGTGAATGAAGCAGTCGATATACAGGGTTGCCCATATTCGACGGACCCATGACTCTTTGGGCCCATTCCAATCGAGGACGAGGCTTGTCCGCAGGCAACATTCTTTGCGTCAATTGAATTTTGTACGGGAACAAATGCAAATCAATACGAATAATCCGTTGTAAAGTGGACCGAGCCATGCCCAACTGCTGAGAACGGCGTACGGCAGCGATATTCTCGGCCGATCGCCTTGGTCGACTTTTATATGGCCTCTTCGGATTAGAAAGAGCCTTACCAGTCGAAAATTTTTCGTATAAACGCTTAATGGCGTTCTTAGAAGGCGCACTTCTCACATTTTTATACCCTCAGCCATATGGCTACAGAGGGTATATATCATTTGATAGGTCAAAACGTGCCTAGTCGAAATAACGGTTTTAGACCCTAGGTCTCTTTGGACCAAATCCGTTTCAGGACATTTGGAGTCGATCTAGCGATGTCCGTCCGTCTGTCTGTCTGGCTGGCTGGTGCGCACGATAACTCTCGAAGGAAGTACCCGATTTGGTCCAAACTTTGTACATCGTAATATTTTTGTCAAACTTAGATCGAGTTCGGAGATGGGCAATATCGGTCCACTCCTTCTGGTACCTCCCCCACAAAACGTCGAAATTTTGCAAAAATATATTTTCTGCACAGAAAGAGAAATGATGATCCGATTTTGCTCCAACTTTGCGAATCCTAATATTTTTCTCAGTGCTAGGTCAAGTGCGAAAATGGACAATACCGGTCCACTCTATCAGGTACCTCCCCCACAAAGGGTCAAAATTTTGAATAATAACAACTCCTATAAAATGTGAAGTAAGAGTCCGATGGTTTTCAATTTTCACACATCCCCATATTTTTATTAACCAAAGGTCTGGTGTGAAGGTGGAATACATCGGTCCACTCCTTCTGGTACCTCCCCCACAAAAAGTCGAAATTTTCCAAAAAAAAAAATATATTTTTTCTGCACAGAAAGAGAAAGGATTATCCGATTTTGTCCCAGCTTTACAAAACCTGATATTTGCAACAGCGCAGGGTCAGGTGCAAAATTGGCCAATATCGGTTCACTCCATCAAGTGCCTCCCCCACAAAAGGTCGAAATTTGCAAAAAATATATTTTCTGCACAGAAAGAGAAAGGATGATCCGATTTTGCTCGAACTTTGCGAATCGTAATATTTGCTTAAGTGCTAGGTCAGGTGCGAAAATGGACAATATCCGTCCTCTCCAAAAATGGCCAATATCGGTTCACTCCATCAAGTACCTCCACCACAAAGGGTCAAAATTTTGAATAATTATAACTCTTATAAAAAGTGATGTAAGGATCCAAACTTCTGGTACCTCCCCCACAAAATGTCGAAATTTTGAATGCCCATGTGGCTCATAAAACGCCAAATTAACATCCGATTCCATTTAGACTTGGCACATATGAATATTTCTATCAACACAAGATCTGTTATAAAGATGGTATAGATCGAACCATTTCTTCTGGTATCTCCCCCATATATAGGGTTCAAGATTTTGAAAAACAAAACGCTCAAATAAAGCGAAATAAGCATCCAACTCTCTGCAAATTTCAAACATACAAAAATGTTTGTCGTACAAGATTTGTCGTGAAGTTTATATATATCTTCGAACACCTTCAGGCACTTCACCCACATAGTGTCACAATTTTCAATAATTTTATCTGTCATAACTTTCGAAACAATTTAGCAATTCTTTACTAATTGCTATGCCCAAATATTTCTCTCAATAATAAGCCTGATATGAATATGAAATTTATCGGAATTTACGATTTCGCATAAAATTGGATATAAATATACTTTCTTGTAATTTTGCCCAATATAAAAATGGAATATTTCGGTAGACTATATCTGGTACATCGCGCACATTTTAACAATTTCTACAATCATTACATTTTTTATATAAGGTGAAGGTGTAAGTCGATATAATCCATACCAGGAACGTCGCAATATTTAGATCATATTTTTGGGTCCGATACGAAATGGACAATATAGGCCCATTCATTCGGAATCTGCTGCATAGAGGGTCAAACCTTTGAATAATCG